TTTAATCAACTATAACATCTGGGATTTATCGCAAGAGAAATTAGGGCATAGGAAAATCATAGACTTGATATTATGGATAGAAGAGCAAGAGATGGGGCGAAGAGCATAAATAGTTGGCTGCTCGTAGTTGAGTTTTATAATAACCGTAGTCTGTGAAGTAAAGGCTTGGCCATGAGATTTACTCGGTGAACATACAGCACAGTGAGAAGGGAATCTGCAGGTTCAAGTTAGGTTACCATGCCACATAAGAAACCAGACTTTAAGAGCTTGCTCAGTGAGGCTGGCGTACACGTGCTAACAAGGTATTGAAGCGGTGTAGAACATAAAACCTCGAGTAGTACGGATATGGTAGCAGCGATCAAGTGAAATCACTGAACCAGACAGATATGAGGGGAATTTTGAAACGATCTGCAGGAAGAGGATTGCGGACTAAGCTGCAGCCTTGAATCAACACTCCCATAATAGTGGGGAGATGTGGGAAACAGCGGTGAGTGTGGATAGGTCTCACTAAATCCGGTCAAAAGGGGCCCATCTGAGCTGGATTAGGACAAGCAAGTAAGAAAGAGTGATAGTGAATGGGTGTTACGAGGAAACAAGATAGGTGAATACAATGGGACAGGAGAGATACCACAACTGTTCGGCAGACAAGTAGTCAGAAGATCGACTTCATTTGTCCCTTTGACAAGTTATGGCGTGGTGTTGAGACTAGCAATGTTTACTGACGAAGTAAAAGAAAAGTCTGGAAATGTACCAAGTCCACGGTCAGACTCATGAAAAGAGAGAAAGATTTAGTCGGCACTTAATGTATAAAAAATAGTGATTCCAAATAAATCTAGTTGATCCCATGACCGAGAGGCAATTGAGTCTTAGCGCAGATATGGTGAATTAAGGTCTGATTCTGGTGTAGCCTTGATCCTAAAGTGCTTCTCTGAGGCTTTGGCTTGCTCGAAACTCAAAAGAGCATAAAATAACTTATGCTGCCCCTCAGTAAATGAATTTCCATAGATGCGAAGAAACAATTCGTTATGCTAACTTAAGATGTAAGTAGCCTGACGAAATACTTCATACTACTTGTAAGTCAAAAGGATGTGCTAAAAAAAACACAGATCATCCTTTGGGAATATGTAAAAAATCTGCTTTTAGTTAAAACCCTTTCCAAAATAATCACAGATTTTGATTGATGCCACAGCAAATATGTTCATTAGAAAGGCATTAGATTAAATCCTGTCTCAGAAAGGAATATCTCGTGCAGCAATCAAGCAAATTTTGGAGCTCAAGTATGTCTGGATTTTCCAAATTACTTGTGACATTAAAAAATTCCCATTAGTTGTCATTCACACGAGTCTGTGACGAAGTGCATTTTTAGTCAGCTCTGTATACGATACTTTTGTCATGGGCAAATAAACGATGAATCAGGAATCGGAAAATGTTATGATATTTGACCATATAGGATAGATAATTAGAAAAAATTATAGGTTTTCTGAAAGCCGTAGAGTTTAGCTCTATATCTAGCAGCAAATTTACGTAAGGTATAATTATAATTATTATTACAATAAATTAGAATATTATCCGCATCATAACTATTATACAATGATTGTTATCAACATCGCTATCATTCACAGTAATAGTTTATTATTAAACTGTATTAATATTACCATTATTATAAATAGGGGTAATAATTATCCCAATCCGCAATAAAAAAGCCTGATGAAATCGACCTACGAATCTTTTGATTACAAGCTTTTGCATGAAGTGAGTCAGCCAAACAATGTTTGCTCAACGTGTAAATAACCATGAACACAATCAGAGCCAATACCAAATCAATTCCCGCTTCTATAGAGGACAAAAAATTAATTCGATTATAGTGTATTTTCACCTTTAAATGACCTTATCTTGACATCCTTGCTTTACTTTTAATTATTGATGTATGTCGTCTTCTGCTCCTAAATAAAAAAACGAATTTTGAAAATAAGCAGTGCGACCAGAACTTACCTGGAACACCCTCGAGTGGTAGAAAGAGCGAAAATACATCACGCACTGTCACATAAGCCGCCATGCACACGGGCAAGTAGTGCTCAGGCACGAATTCCCCCAAAGCGGTCTCGCGAGCTCCACTTGCACCGATAAGTCTATTGGCTGCACACAGTGACGTCGTCCCGGAGATCAAGCTCGCACCATTGCCTGCTAAACTGCTTCCACTAGGACCGCCAGTGAGAGAGTTAACTGCAGCAAGCAGTCCCCCAGTTGCAGAACTCGAATAGAGCGACCCCGACCCAATAGGTCGTCTGCTCGAGCCAGATGCACCAAGGCCCAGGCATATAGAATTCACTTGATGCGAAAATCCACCCCGAGCCCCATACACGTTTGGAGAGTAGGTGGTGTCCATGGTCAAGTTGCCACCTCCGACCGCTGAAGCCAGATTGCTCAGTCCCGCAGCCATGCTAGAGGGCAAGTGAATGGCAGCTACCGAAGCCAAAGCAGTGGCAACCGAATGGCTTGTGGTCATACGAACTCCTGGAGGATTAGGTAAGCTAGCTCCAATCGATGATAGTGACTCTTCAACTCGGCCACCAGGCGCTAGCTGCCTGGAATAAGGGGTTGTGGCTGCAATATCTGCAGCTGCTGCAGCAGCTGCAGATGGACAGATATTCTGAAAGGTACCGAGAAGGACACGCCAAAGCCAGACGATATCTGAACGATTTGCCTATGCCAAATTAAGCAGGGAAAAATAAATAGAAGCTTAAAAATGTAATCCACAAGTAAGTTATGTGCTAGTAATTTAAGCTTACTTGTAACAAATTAGGAGACCTACAGATCTCGTATTTTTCTAAAAAGTAGTGTTTAATATAGGTAAGATAAAGATTCGTAAAAAGTAGTCATTGATCCTCCTTCAAGAATTCAAATTTGGCGTCGTCACCAGCCCAAGGAAAACCAAGTTTGAAAATAAATTTAAAGGATATTTTATAGTAGATGAGAAATCCAAGGTGTGACCTTAAGTTTGTTCGTAGTTCCATATAGAGGCATAGAGTTGGTTTGAACAAATTTTTGAAACACCGTCGTGATGTATAGTTCAAAGAGCGTACCATGGCATGTATCCTCCGCTATATTAGATATAATAATTTCCAATATCTAACCATTCACCAGGAACGCTCTCACAAATTTGCCTGCATCCGGCTATTCAGAGCTCACCAAGTTTTCAAGGTATAGAATATAAACGGAACTTCTATATTCTTGAATAAAAACATGCGTCGCTTTGGTTCGCGTAATATAAATTAAATTTTCCATAGGTAACTAGGTAGAAGCTCTCAATTAGGGAGGACTACAGTTTCAACCTCATCTGAGTCGCTTTATCACTCAACGCCTGGGGGAGATCAAGATTGCAGTTTGCCCTGAATGAGAGAGCCTTATAGGATGTAATGGCCTACTTTACTATGGGAAATTCAACTATCAATCTAGCATCATCTTAAGCGAGATAAAATGACTCATGTTTTTATAGCAGAGATAATGGCCAAGTTTGGAACACGACTGAACATCCAAAGGAACCAGATGGAAAACTATGAGCGTGAGTATAAGAGTTTGTTCGGCAACTCAGAAAACCTTAATTGTAGGCTTAGACTGAGGCCATTTAACGTGATATTGCTGTAAGAAGAATATATTGAAATTTAATCATAAATATATAGAAGAGATCATAACAGCAATAGACGTTGCGGCGAAACAATGATGTAAATAAATAATTAACAATACGATATGGACAAGATAAATATCTAAAGAGATGTATTTATTATATTTCGTTTAACGTGATGAAGGATTCGTGATTGAATTTTCACACAACTATATGAGTAGATATTATATTTCCATTAAAGTTCACATAGCCTTGCTTCCCAAAAAGGTATTTGCAACCAGGCAGAAGTGGACTGTTATTTCGACTTCGCATAGGTCTCATTAGCACCCCCAGTGGGACTCAAACTCTACTCTAGACACGTTAACCATTACGTCACATTGCCACGAGTGTCAGTTGGTCACAAGGCAGTTCCAAGGAAGGCCATGCATTACCCATATCACTTTTGACGAAGCAAATTTGTATTTGCTGTATCAATCGACTACACTATCTACATTTGTATTTTATAATTAGGTTTTCAAGTCTACCAGTCTATTTCATTTAAGGTGATAAAGCTAGTTGAATTTTCTCATAATCATATGAGTAGGCTATGTGTTTCCATTGAATTTCACATATTTCCATATCATTGAGACAATCCAACTGTCAGTCTTTCATAACCTTAAACGAGATAGAGTGAATGTATA